TTTTTTTTTTTTTTTTTGTTTTTTTTTTTTTTTTTTTTTTTTTTTTTTTTTTTGTTTTTTTTTTTTTTTTTTTTTTTTTTTTTTGGGGGGGGGGGCCACGTGCATATCCCGTATCGAGATTAAATTTCCAGGAACAACGTAACGACGGGTTATTTGGTTTGGCTAAACGCGTCTCTATAACCTTCCCTTTGTATGCAACCCGAAAGCCCGTGTCGGGTTTATACAGTTCATAGGGCTTACAGTGACGTGGATAACAAAAGGATCTCCCTATAGAGAGATACCATTCGAAGTTTCCTTTACGTTACGTCCGACGTTGTGAATCAATCGTAGAAGCCTGATATACGCAACACTTACTTCGGCTCGAGTCCCCTAAGCGATTCGTTCCTGCGTGATTTGGGCTTTCGCGTGTCACCGCCGCGAACTGGGTTTCTTGTTTCGAACGTTGAAGAGTAAGAGAGACAGAGATATACGTATATGTGTGCACGTAGAGAGAAAGACGGCTATAGAAGGTGTTAGGACAGGGAGAAGGAGAGTTAAAGGGAAAAGGAGTGTAAAGCAGAGAGTATATATAAGAGTTAGACAAGAGCGAAGAGGAGGGTGGGTGGTTTACGAAAGAGTAAAGAGAGCGTGGGGAGGGGAGAAAAAAGAAAAAGAAAAGTATCCATAGTAATATAGAGCCGCTGGGGGTGGGACGGGGTAGAGGTGGCTACTATCGGAAAACAGAAAGTAGCAGCGATGGGTTTTAGCAGCCAGAGGGTTGTTGGAAACAACTTGGAGGGAACGGTACGGATGAGCGTGAGCTAAAAGATGACAGTGGGAGCCCAGGCAACAACAGTGGCTCCCAAACCGAATAAAACCTTATATCCCATATAAATAACACGTTTTCGAAGTTTTCGCGTGAGACCAATGGCGCAAAGTTAAACGAAATACAGTGTTGGACGGATGGGGAATGAGAAGGTTAAATCGGGGGATGATAGCGTAGGGGGAGCAAAGAACTAGGCGTAGACTCTACCTTGGGAGGGAGATTTGTCGCTTCCCTCGTCTTTCTCGGTATTTTATTTATCCACTTTCTCGGAATCCGTAAGGGATATCCAGCCACGGATAATAATCTCAGGGCGAAATAAAACGTACGACAGTGATACTAAAATAGGCTAAATTGATTGAGAAGTATCGTTGTTGCGCAATAACCTGGGCGGTTCGTTGTAGACTCTGAAAGTGTCCGGAGGTGATGGAAAGTTTGTAGGGGGGTTGGAAGGGGTTTATAAATAATTATCCGGGACAGGGGACACGGTGGGAGATGGGTATCGAACAAAGTCATTTAGCACTTTGATAAATTTTGTCGACGTACCTTGTTATGCTTGGATACGAGCCACTGCGAGAGAAGTAATTTCTTAGGTTTTATGAAGTCCGGAAGAAGCTTTACATTTCTTATCGGGAGCTGTTAGACGTCATTCATGTATATATAATGTCATGGTTTCGAAAACTTACGAAAACCTTCACCCTTTCGAGAAAAGTAAATTACGTTCCCTCCCCTAACCCCGTTTCCCCTCTACCCGAGTAACCCTCTGCGATATTACTGGAGTCTCATAAATAGCCTGCACGCGAACACAGCGACGGAGTCGAATTGCTCGTCGGCATTACGAAATAAATGAAATTTTAACGAATTTAAAATGTTTTATATCTTCGCTTCGGTGGCTGTTTCCTACTTGGGATTATTATGAATCGATCGATACGTCTTGGATTATTTTTTAAATCATTTGTCTATCTCAGCAAGTAGAGCGTAGTTTATTGCACAATCAAATTATCGTCAAAACAACGTCTGGGTAACGATCTACTCACTGCATATAACATAAACCGTGGAGTTTCCCCTTTGTACATTATGTGTATACATGTAGTCTCCATGTATATTATACGAGCCAGTAATTTACATCAATTCAATGTATAGTTAGATTACATTCTATGGATAAGTGAGTTCACTAAACATCCGTTACGAGTCGCTAGCTATCGTATGGAGGTTGGTAAGGTAGATTTAATTATATAGCGTAAAGAGTGATTCATAAACAATTTTTATGCAATAGACTGAACGTAAGTAGAGTGATAAAAGTGATTCTACCAAAATAATTAAGACCTTACTACGAATGATGAGATTTTAGTCATTAGTCGATAACAAAGAAACCACCACTTTGTCTTTCTTCTATTTCCTCTGTGTGAAAAGAATTGGTTCGATGGTAGAATACCGTAGGCGGTCGGTAAAGTAGATCTCAACAGACGAACTTGGCCCATGGTGGAAATGTTACTTATTTAAAATAATATAAAATAAAACTTTTCGATATTTATCTTGTTCCGTTCTTTTTCTTGTCTTTCAGGACGAGGTTCTCACAATCTCGGAAAAGGTGGTCGTGCGTGTTCATGATCTGGTCACGTGGTTGTCTCCGTCCCTGGAGTGGTCATGCGGCAGGGAAGTATCCTGTCCCCCTACACCGACCTCATCTCCAGAGAACAGTCCCTTAAAACCGGAGATTCTACAGCCACAAGTACTGACCGATCCTGGTATCGATTTTTCGGACGTGGAGAAGCAACAAAAAGAATACGAGAACAATTGCGGCTCGTCGAAGAAAAATGAAAGCAACAATCAGCCAAGAGTCGTAGTGCTATCGTATCCCAGGTACTGCCGGTATCGAGCTCTACTACGTAGACTAGAGGGTGCCGAGCCATCTTGGTTATGTTCCTCCGTGGCAGCTGCACTTGGTGGTTTCACAGCGTTACCCGGCACCAGGGTACTCTTCTGCAAGGACACTTTCGACTACCCTGATCTGGAGACACACGAGTTACTTTGCAATCACTTAGGTAAATAAATCATGAAACAAAATATTTTTATCTTTTCCATAACTATTTTCATTCTCTTGCATTCGTTTACTTTGTCTATCTAATGCTTAGCCTCATTTTCTATGGTTTCGCGTAACGCCGTGACCTTAACGCTCAGTCTGGGACGTTGTTTTGTTTATACTTTAGTAAGGCTCACGTGCGTCTGCTTGGCCGGTACTACTACGTCGCGTTAACGCATTAACCGTCCACAGGCCCAAGCAGCGCCCCACTAGGCCCACTTTTTCTCGCAGTCGTAACGCGTGCGCCTGCCAATTGCATTTGGGTCTTCGTTCTCCCGTGTCAAGCATTGCCGTTCTCGGTGTTCTATTCGCAGTGATAGCCGCTTCGTGACAGAAATACGTTACTCAGTGCGTCACGCAAGCTTCGCGCCGGACACGTGTTTTTTGTTTGTTACAAAAGTGTTTACTAATTGGACGATGGGCATCTTCATGAGGATACAAGGAAACGAGATAGTGTACTTTAAGATAATTTGTAAGAACTTTTCTTCTCTCGGAAATAAGAATTTTCTCTAGTATTATTGGCCTGTTGTCGTATCACTCTTGAAAGTATATGACAACTGACAGATATTGGATATTGATAAATAATTGTGTAGATTGGTTTTACGATGCAGCGTACGTGTTGTCATTGTAAATTTAGTCAATGGTTGTCAAATTTTATTTTGATTAGTTTCTACATAGAGCCGACGGAAATTTTATAAAATCGAAGGCCTGGATATGTCAAATTAACTATTCCGTATGCATATCAACTTTAAATCTGCACAATATTTTCGTATAAGATATACGTTGAACGTGCATAAACTGTTCTGCCTTGATATATACACGATCTTATAAAAAAATTGGCCGGACATCTACAGGTTTATAGTTTCTATCGTCTGGGAATGAATTTCGAAATTGGATAATGGAAACAAGAATGAACTGCCTTTGTCTATTGACTCGGGACGCTCGGGATCAAATACAAATGTGTCACCATCGTCTACATGTGGTCTAGAGTGTGTCGTGCTGGAAAAGGTGTCACATTCGTGTGACACCACGTTTCTATTTGTTTTATCGAAATTTCGAAAATCCATCTACGTATACAGACCCATTGGAAACATTTGAAATAAAATCTATAGAAATTGTCATTCAATTGGATTAAAATGATTGAATGGAAGAGAGTGATATTTTTTCATTGTGATTACGTCATATGTCATTTGAAAAAAGTTTTTATGCATCTGTCACTTACACATATCCTGTTAATAAATCACGAAAAAAAAAATGTAATCAATATTTATTTTTTAGCGCCAAAATTGAAGGGCCGGCCTCGACGAAAGCGTAAAAAGCGCAGCGCTTCTCCTGGTGAATCGAGCAACGAAAGTGAAGCGTCGGTGGCGTCGGTGGTCGCCTCGACGTCACGGAGCGCTTCGACGTCCTCTAGCCTCGTCCAAGCTCTCCGGCCACCCGCATCCGGGGTACGTCGTAGCGAACGAAAAACTAGTGCAGAGGAGAAGAGGTTCCTGGCCGAGGTACAGACGTTCATGAACACCCGGGGCACGCCGGTCGGCAAAATGCCTTTATTGGGATACAGACAGAGTGAGTGGAATTTTTATTCGCATAGAACAATAAATTGTCAGAATATTTATTTTTTCTACCACAGCGACTTCTCAAGCAACTTTGTTCAGCCTATTTACGGCTACAATGTTGCTGATTGCTGCTGGTCAATTTTCCGGCGTCTTAGAACTTTCCGTTCACGTTATAGCTAACGTTTGTGTTTTATTTACTTCTCTGTAGTTGATCTGTTTCTATTCTACACGAAAGTGCAGACCTTGGGTGGTTACGATTCCGTTAGTGCCGGACGCCTATGGAAATCTATATACGATGACATTGGCGGCAACACCGGATCCACCAGTGCTGCTACCATCACGCGAAGGCATTACGAACGGTAAGGATTTTCTAATAAGACAATATATTAGTCTCGGACGGGACGCTCTTTCTGTTTGTTTATTTGCTTTTTCTCATATTTTGATGACCTGCACGAGTTTTCGATATTACTATTATAAACGTCGAATCGAACGATGTGATTTATTCGCAGGTTGTTGCTGCCTTATGAAAGACATCAGAAGGGAGAAGAAACAAAAGTGAGACCGACCCACGGTAGACGTACCAAATCCAGCAGTATGTCCGAGGACAATGTAGAAGTAAAGCAGGAACCTGGGGCATCGCATTCCTCCCAGACACCACCGCCACCTCCGGGAACGCCAACTTCCACGGCGGTGTCGCCACCGCCATTACAGTCCATTCTCTCATCGGTAATTAACTTTCTGTCGTATAAGAAGTATTCCTTCAAAACATCTTTGTCACTTTTCCTCAAAGGCAACAATTACTATTTTCCCTTTTATTTCAGCCCTTCCTACCGGGAGATAAACCCAGAGCGGAGAGTGGAAAGACGTCCTCGTTGCGTAGCGTAAGGGTGAAACCGGAACGCCTTAAATCGCTGAACACGATAATAGCAAACAGTACATCACCCGCAACGCAGAGTAGTCCGTTACCGAGTCCTCCTCCGTCGGTAAACACACCGACGTCAACGCCGTGCAGCACGCCGTCGACAACCCCGACGGGAGGTCAGAGCGTGTTGGAACGGCAACTTAACAGTCCGTTGATGTCGCAACAAGTGGCCCCAGGAAGTCCTCCGCCGACTAGTCTGCCAGTAGTAACGACGGTACCAAACCCAAGTAACGCATCGACCGTCGTTACGTTAACCCCACCACCGGAGAAGGACATAAAGGAGATGAAACTGGACCCGAAGCAGACGTCCCTGCTGGCTCAGGGTAAAGAGAACATACCGCTCTTCGGTGAAAAGCCAATAGTCCCACCCAGGTCGCCGGAAGTCATCGACCTGGAGACCGAGAGCGATACCAGCAGAGACAAGATCATCATTCCCAGCTTCAAGAAGCGAAAACTCGAGATTCTGCGCGAAGGCGGACTCGAGGTCACTGCCGTGGAACTGGACGCTAGACCGAGCGTCATCCAGGCGACTGTAGCGCCGGTTTCCATGGCGCCGACGCTTAACGCTAAAGCCGAAGAAAAGACTGCCTCGCCGTTTCCCACGCCTGTAACGACGAACTCCGTACCCAAACTCATTTCCGTCACAGTTACGCCGGACATCAGTCATATGCTACCGTCGCCACATGAGAGTCCCAGTCCGAATCGACTGCCAACGCCCACGAAGCAGCCCACAATTAACAACAATAGTCACGCTCATCAAAATAATAATAACACCTCGTTGAACAACAACAACAACAACGTGGCGAACAGTAGAGTCATCAATTTAGGGAGTTCGAATAACGCGACGCTTCTGCAGCTCTATGCCAATGCGAATGCCAATGCAGTATCGACGTCTCCAAGTAATAGTAATCATCGGTTCGTTCCTCCGGGTTTACCTAATGGCAGGATAGTACCTCCAAAGGTAACACAGTCCAGGTCCATCTTCGCACACAACGAGAGGACGGTCTACGGGAATCCAAAGGACATTTTGATACCAACCAAGTATCCTCACCAGCATCCACAGCCACCCCCTCACCCACCAAGGAGCAATAATCAGAGCAGCGGGGTGTTAGACCTAACTCAAAGGTCAGGGGAGAAGCAAACCTTTTCCAGACCTAGTCTAGAGATCGTAAGGGTGCCAATAGTGCCCAGACCCAGTCCCTTAAATTTAGAAATGAAAAATAACCTCAGAGACAAGCAACAGGAACCCCAAAAGAAGTCATTCACACCTTATCCAAATATGCTCGACAGTAGAACAATGATATCCAATAATCTGGAGATCACTCTAGTGAATCCCAAGCAAAAGTCTCATCCAGCTGGTGCACCACCTCACATACCTCCGCAGCAGCAAATGCCGGCAACCCCGACAACGCGAAACAACGTAATGCCAACTCAGAGGAGACAACAAGCAAACGGGAAGTACCCACCAAGAAGCGAACCGGTCTCGCCGTACACACCAAGAAAACCAAATCATCCAGTAATACCAAACGTGCCGAATCTAAACCAGCTGAACAGTGTAGCCAATGCGTCCTACGGCCGTGCGACCCAGCAACAAATGGCCATCGAGAGGAGGAAAGCCGAGGCAGCCAAGGAGCATCGCAGAACGAGCGAAGGCGATAGATCAGCAATGATACCACAGCAGCAACAGCAGCATCATCAGCAACAGCACGAAGCTGCTAATCACAGACAACCGTCGGACTCCTCGCGTCGACACAGCGTACCAAATGTATCCACTGGCTTGATGCTGGCTCTGCCGCAAAATCCTGCCTTCCTTTCGCAGCTGCCAAACCCAGCTGGAAAGTTCCTGCCGATTTTTGATCCCGTTTATTATCCAGCCTTCTATAACGGTCTCCTTCCACCGCCAATGGCGCCTGCGTCAACTCCATTCCTCGTACCGGAACTCAGCACTTACTACAAGGAGTTACTAGCCTCCTCGCAACCAAGACTGGCGATGACCGGACAGCATCAACCTGCTGTCCCTACGTCCAAGTAGAGACGATGAGGGATCTCACATTGGATTCCTCATGGCGGAATCCAATCTGGATTCCCTAGGAGCGACAGTATAAGAACCGTCAGGCTTCTCGTCGTAGATAGGAAAGAAGAATTAATAAGTCCGTTTGAATACGGATTATTATATATGGATTCGCTGTTACTTTACTCGACCGATCGCCATTTCTATTTTATCCGCTGTCGATATTGTTATTTCATTTTTATTTTATTTTTTGTTTCTAATCCAATGCGCATGCGCGTGTTGTTAAATCTTTGGTACGATCGTGGCGGAGTCAATGCAATCGATCCTGGGATCCTGGAGAGTCAAAGTGTCGAATGGCTTAAATTTGCATATTTTTTCAAACCCTGTGATAAAAGTTGTGGACGCGTCCATGCATGAATATAAAACGTAATTTTCTTTATGTTCGCAACAAACGGTATACGTGAAAAACATTGTTGAGATTGCGCAAGAGAGTTATGCGCGTGTCCGTATGTGTGTCTTTTTAAAAGTATGTTTGAGACAAAGGACGATGTATAGATATGGAGAGAAAGAAAATGGTTGGCGTCGCCGCGACCCCTTCGATTTATTCGCACCTAGGAGAAAAGCGTCTGAGCGTCCTAAGTATTAAAGGAAATAAGAGTGAGAGGGAAGCGTATTTAAGAGAAAAAAAAAGCAAAGACCGTACGGGCAACTTTTTTTTCTTATTGTTTTTATGATGGTTTACAATGTCGTGAATTTTCGCCATAGGCCACGGCGATTATTAACGAGACGCAATAAAACATGCGATTTTTTAATTAACGAGCGACGGACTTTTTTCTTTAATTTAGCATGTCTTCACTCCCAACACCCATATAAGTTTTCCAACGTGTGATGTGATAAATGCGGATTGCGAAGGGATGGCCGACGGACCACCGGGTATATAAATAAATAAATGTATATATACGAATATAAATAATCTATCTAGAAGAAGAAGAAGAAAAAAGGTTAAGATTTAGGATGACTCCTAAGCCAATTCTGACCTGTCGAATAAGTTAGCTAATTTTCATTATTCAATGAAACGAGGAATAAGAAAACTGAATCTGTAATCAATAGTCACGGCTCTTGGATGTGCGCAACCTTATGTAATGGCAAACGAAAGCGCTACTGTATATATTTGTACATAGAACACGTAAAACAGTAAGTTAGCTAACTTCAGCATTATCTTGGAATAATTACTCTACGCGTTTAAGTTTATTATTATATATCGAAATAAATGTACAGGATGTCGTCGTAATAATGATCGTGGAACGTGGGTACACGCGTGCCTTCTTCATAGTCCCGTTCATGTAATTACAATTATCTATTACAAATTAATGGAAAGAAGACACTAGTGATTATTTCTTGTTTTTTTTTTTTTTTTTTTAATTATTTTATTATTACTTCAACGCCCAAGGGACATCGATATCTTCATGCGCTCCGCGAGTCTTCGTCTTGATTAATAATTTATATTTTTTTCCCTCCTTTTATTTATTTTTTTTTTTTTTTTTTTTTTTTTTTTTTAATTATTTTATTATTACTTCAACGCCCAAGGGACATCGATATCTTCATGCGCTCCGCGAGTCTTCGTCTTGATTAATAATTTATATTTTTTTCCCTCCTTTTATTTATTGCACGTGCACGTTACTCGCGCTTTTCCACGTATTCTCGCGACACTTGGTATATCCGTGTTAAAAAAGAATAAAATAAAAGAAATCGTAGAAGCGTGACGACATGCTCCTTTTAGGATATTTTGATCGAAATAATTAAAAAAAAAAAAAGGGGGGGTACGAGCTATAAAACGTAATATCTGTAAACATAAAACGTACGCGGTATGAGTACGGTCTGACCGGACCATTCTAGCAAATTTAAAAGAAATATATCGATGTCTTTCAAGATGAATAAATTTAAACGAAAGAAACAAGAAACTAACCAGTAAACGCGGGAAAGGATTGAAATTTAAATGGAAATTATTTAAATAATGAAATAGGGTATCTCCTCGCGAGACGTACGGCTGTAATACGATTGTTATTAGCAATGATTGTTCCTGGCATAAATAGGTCAACGGCAACAAGAACAAAAAACAATAATTTGACAGTGATTTTTATTGTTATGTTTTTAACAATAGAAACCTATCCTTTCTTATCACTCGACCATGAAACAACACACCTGACGTAGGATAATGCCATGCGTTTTTAGTTTGTACGTTGTGCGTACACGGAGTGTAGTATTCGATGGGAAATATGGCAGGAATTTAGTAAAATTTCGAAATCCTGGTGCTTTGTTAAGTGATTCTCGACTACGTAGCCACCTATGCTGTATTCAGTGAGATACGTAAAATCGAACTAGAAAAAAAAGAAGGAAGATGCGTCTCGAGCGAAAGTTGTGAGTGGTATTCAAAAATTACGAAGCGAGCTGGAGGGTGAGTGGATTTGCGTAATTTTTGTTTGAAAGGGAGAAAAAATTATATTATACAGATCTCCAAAATTTAAAAAAAACTGTTATACCTTTTGGTCGCTGTACATTAGTAACGATTTGACTGCGATTTTTTTTTTTTAAATAATATATTGAAATTGGCGCCAGTCACCCTAATCAGTTTTCACATACGTACTGATAACGCAGCAGTGTGTTTTATTTTCGTTACTGCCACGTGGCGCGAATGATGACAGACATTCATTTCCTTTAAGACACGCAGCGACTATGACGAATGCTTGCAAAATTAAAGGTTTCTTTTTTTTATTTTTATTTTCCCACAAGCATCCGCCGACTCCTTTCCCAACCCTTCTTTGCGACAAGGCCCAATTAAAATGGGTCCCTATTAGAGATATGTGCCATAAAACTGCTTAGGTAGGACTTTGTAAGATCACACGAGATAGCACCTGTTCAATACGATGGATCAAATTATTATGGAATAAGTCATATATGGTATTTCCATTTTGTTTTCATCATTATTTTCTTTTATTATTTTTGATGAGAGAGCAAGAGAGAGAGAGAGATTGAGAGACACGCCTACCAATCTTTTGAATAAAAAGTAAGGGATGGGGGAGGAGGATGTTAAAAAGTTCAAATCCCACGGGGAAGATTTTTGTATTTTTTTTGTTCCATTGTTACGTTACAGCAGTGTTGTTTTTTTTTAGATGTCAAATTTTAGCATGATGATCACATCTGTGTGTATGAGTGAGAAGAAACGTGTGAGAGTGTATAGATATGTGTATGCGTGCGTGTGTGCATATGTGCGCGGTGACGCGCGCGCAAGTGCAAAAAGGTCGGAGGTTAATGAATAACGAGGAAAAAGAAAAGTTAATGTTCATTTACGTTTGCGAGTTTTTTCTTTCCTTCATTTTTTTGTATACCTAGCAGTGATTTTAGAATAACCCCTGTTTTTTTTTCCTACTTTAATAATAATTATTATAATATAAATATTTTTTATTATATGGGCATTTCAGTTCCTAAGTTGGAAATAAAATATCTACCACGAACTGCGCCTTGTTATTCCACCACCGAAAGCCGCGAGGAAAGTCCTTTCCGTTTGATATCAGTAGAGGAGGGACGATTTTTAATTTTGTTAACGTTTTTTTTTGTCATCCGCGATTCGTCACTTTAGCTTATCTTGTAACATTCGCCAAACGCTATTATACCAGAGTTACAATTACGTTATAATTGCTTATGGCAGTGGAATTGCAATGGACCTTAATTACAAGGCTCGCATAGATTGCTGCAATACGCCGAGTCCACGTACCGGTAGAGTCTTTATTCTGTTTTATCCAATGGGCGCTGCACGGTTTTCCTTATTATGCCGAGTTCACTGGCACAGCAAATCCTGGGCAATTGGCCATTCCATTGGAGCATCTGGGTTACGAACATTTTGATTGGCTTGGAAGGGTCGGAGGATGAGTTACAGACGACTGTGAACACGGCGTAAAACATATATCGGTCTAAGAAGAAGAAAAAGAGGTCTCGTAGGAATGCACCGGCATGTGCCGCGAAATTTAAAATCGTTTTATGGCAGCCATAAACTGATAACCTGTTTAACCAGTCGGGCAGGAGCGCAGATACGTTTTGCGTTGCGAAATTGTTTTTCTTCTTTCATTTTAAATCATATCGCTTTTTAGACAGTATATTTAATGAAAGTTTTTCATCCCTCGTGCTTGACGCCGTCGCCATAGCCACGGCGCTACAGGTCTCTTCAATGTCCAATATGGCCGACGCAACCGTCCAATGAGCTCCTGAAATGGCCTCACGGAAAATTCAATTTAATTACCGGAGTATGCCGAGCATGTTTTCATTGTATTTGACGATTCTCATGGGACGACTTAGAACACACTGTCGCAACCGACGATTTCGAATAAACTTCTATTCGCGTAAGTGAGTGACACTGGCAACGCTGCGGTTGCTCTCTGGGACGTCACGACGTCTCTGGAAGGGAATATGTGGTTGGGACTGTATATAGTCAGTGGAATTGAATCTGTGTTTGCATCTCCACCCTCATGACACAGGCAAACATAACCCTCCCTGTACCATCGTCGCGCATCGTTGCACGCTAAACCCACCACCCCCTGTGTATCTGCCGATGCAGAATTCGTTCGAAGAGATGAAATTCGTGGAGATTCGAAGCGGCAGATTACAGAAGGATACACGTGAATGCGAAACAGTACAGATTTTTTTTTCTTGTCTTTCTTTTATTATCAATCCCCATCCACTGCTGGAAGATGCATGGGAATAATTAAACGTGACGGATACAGAGGAAACATAAAACCTTTACAGATACTGCACTGATACCAGAGATGAGTAGGGAGATTGCCTCTGAGCCGATTTCGATGGTCTGTGGTCTTTCGTTGCGGTGAATCCTTGAGTAGGGGTAGGTCTTTCGCACTTAACGTACCTTTTGCGTCAATCTTGTCGATCGACCCGATTTCCTATCCTTCCTGACCTTTTTTTTTAATCTTGTGCGGGATAGCTACAGGGCTCCGGGGGTTATCCTTAATAAAAAGAAACTAGCGGCTTTTTTCGGAACTAGGATTACTATTTACAGCGTCATCCGACGGTATTTTCAGAACTAACCAAAAGTGTTTCTCCGAACCACAGCATCATCATATTGCAAAAATGTACTTTTTCTAATCTCTAATAAGTTAGCAGAAGACTTTTAACCCCTTAGCTTACAATATAGTGTCAGACATGTGGTATGTCGACCGGGCCAAACATCAACAAGTCCGTGTCAGAGACGTGGTAGATCGGCCGGACCAAATGTAAATATAACGTTTCAAACACGTTGTACAGCTGATCGGGCTACACGCGACATACACTTAATTTTCTTCACCGCATTCGGACCTGCTAACATACTTTTTGAGAGAATTAGAAAAGTACCCTTTACAGTTGATCGTAATTAGTTGTTATTTATCAGACATCTTGTAAAGTAAAGTTAGTTGTACTATACACATGTGTTTACAAATCATAGGACGTCTGCGATTTGCACAACTTCGAACGCTCAGCCAAACCGTGAATGGCTTGACGTGTGACCAACCTTGCAGTCACTTACTGACCGCGCCATCGGGAACTTGAATCGTAAGGTAAGTGGTTAACTTTTTTAATTTTTTTCTGTACTAATCGTTTGGTGGTGATTCGTAGTCTAATTAAAAGGTTTGGTAGTGAATGGTTTTTCCAGAATATTAAAAACAAATTTTAGCGATAAGTTATTTTATTTATTGATCAATTGGAGTAGAAGTCAAGAAGTAGAAAAGTAAAGAATACAGGTATAAAAATAGAGAAGAAATAAGGAAAGAGATAAATAAGAAAGTAAAGAATGAAAGGTGAAATTAAGGAAGTAAAGAAGGAATAAATGTAGAAGAAGTAGCAGGTTGGAAATGTATAAGGGGGGTACTAAACTAAATTTATTAATATTTCAGTTTGAGCGTAATTTATTTTCAATCTTTTACATTTTCAATTCAGTTTTTATCTACTCCGTACGTTTTGCGAGATTTCGATTTAGTTTCAATTTTATATTTTGAATATATTCTGAAAGCAAATATATGTTCGACCAATCCCAAACGTGGGACTGGTTCGAGGCTTCTCCGTCCAGGTGGCGCGTCGACATCAAAATAGACACTCTTTACACAGCCACTCGGTATAAATCCATGCGTCTCACGTATATCACGTGCAGTATATCTATATATAATCGGCCAATCCAAAACGTGAATACGGTTCCACGGTCCTCCGTTCAGATGGCGCGTCGACTCCCAAATAAAATTGGTTTACCATCGGGAAGTTAGCGTGGGAAAATCAAAATTTGTATGTTTATAATGCTTTGAAAATTGCTCCTTAAATGCTCCATATGTTTCCGTAATTGCTCCACTGCTACTATGCAGTGATTAATAAATATTCATTAAAACAGAAAATTTTTATTTTTATTGAAATTCCAAATAACCGAGCAGATTTTCATATGAGTTTCTTGATGAATTAATTGCTCCCAATTGCTCCACAATTAGTTTTTCATTTAATTAAAGCATCTTTAAATAATAAGTAAAATTTGATTTTCACAAAGTACTATTTGAAAGTTAACTGAAATTTAGCAGGTTTAACACATTTTTCGGACTAATCGGATATTTGAAGTTCTCATGTCCGTTCTCTTCGACGCGGTTCAATGCATAAACTCGGCTTAACTGTGCTATTAGCCAAGCAGACACTTGTATTTTGAAAATAAACGTACTTTATACATTGAAGCGCGCAGGAGGTCGATTGTGTAACTCAAATGTAGTGAAAATGCGAAAAATGAATGGCTGTTAGCCAATCGCGTGTTAGATTCAAAAGAAGACAAGCATAGCGATTGGCGATTGGCTAACAACTATTCACTTTACGTATTTTCACTACATTTGAGTTACACAATCGATACCCAGAAGATAACAGGCCTACGTTTACACGGCGGTCTTGAACCGGTTTAGTTAATACTGATCTAAACGAATTGACCAATCCTGAATTGACCAAGTGTGTTCGAAAATAAACCGAGGCAACGATGTTCGCACACTCTCGGCTGCTCTTAGAACGCAGCTGTCATAGGTGTGGTCGCAAACCAATCATAATGTTTACGTTTGCAATCGAGCTAAGTGAAAATCAATTTTTACTTATTATTTAAAGATGCTTTAATTAAATAAAAAACTAATTGTGGAGCAATTGGGAGCAAATCGGGAGCAATTAATTCATCAAGAAACTCATATGAAAATCTGCTCGGTTATTTGGAATTTCAATAAAAACAAAAATTTTCTGTTTTAATGAATATTTATTAATTACTGCATAGTAGCAGTGGAGCAATTACGGAAACATATGGAGCATTTAAAGAGCAATTTTTTAAGCATTATAAACATACAAATTTTGATTTTCCCGCGCTAACTTCCCGACGGTAATTGGTTTTCAAGAAAATTGGCCCGCTGGCAATCACCCTACTTACTCATATCTGCTGATACCCTGTGATTTTTCATCGAAATATCCAACAAAATAGAAACGAATCCGTATCGCAAAAATATAACTAGATTCTTTTTCCCTAGGAAATCATAATTACAATAGAACAATTTTCTAATCCTTTATAATTTATTTATCATTCTCTATCTTATCCATTGTCGCAAACGGTTTAGAGATGCTTCTTAAAATTATTCATGCCCTACCAGAAGCTTAAGCTTTTGTAATTTCTTTGCGCAGTGTAATTTTGAGTGAAAATATCGCCTGTCCCTCCAGGATAAACGACGATAATATTCACAATCACTTCTGGCTTCACTCTCACTCTCTCTCTGTTTTACCGAGCGATTCGAGATTCCCACGTGAATGCTCGCGGGATTCGCGACTCGCGCGAGTGACAGTCCGTTTCGGCACGGACGCGCGGTTCAAAGGAGGTCGCGTGTCGTTGATCTTTTGCTGTAGGCACAGGTGTCGCGGGTCCGTTAGCGGAATTCGTCATTTAAATGCGCGCTGGTGACGCCAAAAGATATTAACGTGCGACTATCGAATCGGGATTATAACGACGTGAGATAGTTTTTCCAGCTGACACAGAGTCACGATTACTTTCATGCCGCGGATTTTCTAAATATCAGAAACATCGAACACCGAAAAAGTGTAGGCGTATCTAGTCTGGGTCATTGGGATAGCATCGAGGTTACATATTGAGAACGAGTAAGTAAGCCACGGCCGATCGGGGTCAGTTGGACAAAAAATCATAAAAATTATACACTCCTCCTCTTCTCCTATGACGATCTCCTTATTTTTTTCGACTTTTGTACTTTCTTCCACCTCGTCTCCTATCATGTCTTCGTTCGCAAAAGGAACGTCAAGGTGAGATAGATGATAGCTCGGCAGGAATATCGCCGATCGACGCGATGTCTGTCTATCGCAAATATAAGGCTTGACCCTAAGACGCGGTAGGGTTATCAAATTCAGTCTTTACACTTGTGGAGAATAGATAAGTATCGGCGTCCTGGACGGTTAGACAGCCTGTGGCAACTGGCCAGCCGCATTCTCGCAAGGTCAAGTCATTAAAATAGCTGGAATTCGTGGAGTGACGTGACCTTCGCTTCCTTTTCGCGGATCATCGAGTCTCTTGTCGATCTGCGATGGATTGTCGCAAGGCGGGAATTGTGTTGTGGATGCGCACTTGAAGGCTATTAGGAACGTATATGTATACAGGGTGTATTATAAAAAGAATAATGCATTTTTTCTTGGCAAATACCTTTTCTTTTTTAATATGGCAATGGGGAAAATTAAAAAAAATTTTTCTTTCAGATTTTACGAAATGGTAAATTACGATGGATTTACACGGTTTCCTTTTCATGATTTTCAATACGTTATTAGCGCAACGTTTATTCTTTTTTTTTTCATTCTTTTCTCCTGTCCCTTTCTCTTCTCTTTTCTCTTTGCATCTGCTGATGATTGGCAACGCTCGACAAGCCGCGGGAGGTACAGGGAATCCAGGCAACGGCTTAAATGGCTGTCCCGTTTTATTTTATGATTTTACTACAGTTGGCTTCGAGCACAGTCAAGAACGGAATTCTGCGAGCTTGCAGGAGAAGCTGTTCTTCTCGTTTGAAACTACTGGTGTACTTCGTACTAATTTTCAAAATTTCATACGAAAAGTTTGGGGTTCGGGTCTTGACTTGAACTTTGTCGGTATCGACGATCGACCGTCGAGACGTCGGAACACGTTTATGACGTCTGGCAAAATAGTCCAATTCTCTTCAAAGACTCTAATATGCTTTGTCGGTTAAATCCAAAACTTTTTGGTTATCATCTCAGAGACATTTTTAAGAAAATGTTAAAATTTTAATTATTGTTAAATTCATTCGTGGGTTCATCTTATTTCAAATTCTATATAATTATAACTCATACGGTAATTCAAATTTCATTTTTTTTTTCTTTAGAAATTCTGAAGTAACGATTGATTTCATTAGTTCGGGTGATTCTCAGTCAATATAATTACCGACTCAGTTTAATGAAGTGAGAGTACTTTTCGAAAAATGTCAAAAATTGTTTGAAAATAAAGGCATATAATTTTTCCGAAATAAAGCAAAATTTGAAAATAATTTATTAAAAAATTACTCGGTTCTCTAACTAGAGAAGAACTAAAAGAACTCCTCGGGACGTATAGTCGCCTAATAAAATGACGAGGCAGCCAGCCGCCATGACCCCCCGACCTGACGACCCCCGTACGTTCCTGGGTTCTCCCGGGGGGAGGGGGGGAAGGGCTGGGGTGAACCTTATTGATTTTTAGGGTGACACTGTCAACCGGCGTTGAGTCCCGCGATGGGAGACTTTGAAACGTGAAAAAAATGACGCGGAGCGCCACGCGCGAAAAAAACCCTGCCCACGAATCGACCTGACGAACGGACCTATCCCAGCATCACCAAGAGCCTCACGCACTTCCTGGTGAAACTGATTCGGCGCCTCTGGAATCTACGTACCGTCCGGTAAAAGTGCAGTGTGTGCAAGAGTGACAGAAAACAGTAACGGCGGCGAGGTGCAGTGCTGTGGTCGGGGGTGGTTTAGGCGCAGGGCCGTACTCAGCCGTATTATTAGTTGGGGCGAAGTGCGCAGGGTGCCCGCGTCTTTCAAAACTTTTCTCCAAAAATCAATTACATGGACAGATAGACCCTTGTAGGATAATCCTTAAATTTCACATCCATTACCAACTTCAATAACAAACTTCCAGCCATTATCAGATTACTATAGTCTCGCTTCAACGATGATTCAAACGTATTCTTCACGTTTCAAAAATTGCATAACACTTGTGCGACGTTGTATTATTTTTTTTTAATTCCACCAACCATTCCTTGTACAAAAACAAAAATAAAAGTACACAAGTCACGTTTATTCGATTCTGTGAAAATGACGGAGCGCGCAACGTCGCCTTCGTAGACGGGCGGGCACTAGATGCCGCAGAAAGTACACGGCGTTGTGGTTGACTGGCAAAAGCGTCAATCGTCTCTCGGTCATTTCTGAGTGCTGACGTCGCGACGAGTAAAACGGGAAACCGCGCTGACCAATTAAGGTGAGCGTGCGATTGAAGTAGAGAAAGAATAAGGTAGAGGGAAAAAAAAAAATAAAAAACAGAAGAAAGTGAACCCAGGTCCCCGCAGACGTTAACACAGTTTTAGATAGGGTCGGTTCACTGCATGCAACAGGCGACACTGCGTAGCCGAAGTTTCCGATTACACGATCGAAACTTACTTGGAAAAGTAATTCCTTCTCGTGGCGGACATAATGGGCCGCCGGTATTGAAAGACGCAACCAAGTATGAACGGCAGCCCCGTTTGGCAGGCGGGTTAGCATCGATGGTTCCGCGTGGTTTGAACACAGTCGAACTTTCTCACGGAGTAACTTGAAAAGATTTAAAGTTCCAGCGGAATTATAAATCGCGTGACTCGGCTGCCAAGTTTCTTCGCCGGCGTCAAATCCTCGTGCACCCCCTTCATCCACCCTTCTTCACCAATCCACGACCTTCTACATGCTTTTGCTATTTTGGTACCTTTGACGGGGAAGGGTTGGGGGGTGGCTCCCGCCAGAAATTATCTTGATTGGATTTTGCAAAACGTGTTTACGGAAGGCGTGCGGAATTCAAAATATCACCCTTGTTACTTTGCGAATGACTTCTTATTTTCTTTTTCCATCTCCTTCAGCTCTACCTTGCTGCTCTTCTTGTATTTTCAACCTTCGACCCTTCACCCCTGTGCACTCTTGTGAGGCAGAAGAAACGGTGGTGGTTCTGAACTAGACTTGCGCCAAGCTCGGATTATCCGCGGTGTGAAAAATAAGGGAGGGAGAAATTGTCCAGCCCCTCTCTCAGTGAACTTTTACCCCCTTTTTTTTAAACTATCTTTTTATACGGACTCTATTCCTTCAATACTTACGGACAGCATTGAGCAAGCTGTCTGCTGGTAACCAGAGGGCGTTGGAGCATCGTGTTGTCAAGTTTAGGGGGGTTGGTGATTGCAATGTGCCTGTGCAGTGGGTGACGACAGTGGTAGTGACGTCGTTGGTGGCGTCGCGAGGTCGGCGAAAAGGTGACGGCGTCCAACAGTGTTTGTGTGTATTTCGCGTGGTTCAACGGGGGTGGCAGGCTAAGACCTAAGGGTGGCGGTATGTACCGCGTCTGCTAAAAATGGCAGAGCGTCGTGGCGTGCGGACGCGGAATATCTCTCAACGAGCTAAGAAGAAATCCAGTTGACAGTCGGGCGTGGAGAGGTGGCTGAACACGTGGTGAGGCCTGCTCGGGAGATTAACAGCAGCATATAGACAAGGTGCGTGTGCGAAACGTGCCGGCCCTGGCGCACGTGCGTACGTGTGTTTCCGAAAGTCATTAGTTGATACACGTGTGAGTGAAAATTGCGTATACTATAAGGGAGGGAAAAAGAAAGTAGCTAGTGAGACGGAATAAGAAAGAAGATATGATGAGCTTAGTGTGAGATTGATGAATTAATTGGAAATCCATATAAAAAAAAGTGTGCGAAGGGATATTTAATTGATGACTACGTGTTGGAAGCATTTTGGATGCTTTTATACGTTTTACTGTGCTCGTTTGAAAAGTCTTGAGACACTTGAGAGAAAAGCACGTATTTTACGGTGCAGCTATTTTTTCACTTTCTCACAAATTGCTTCCTGAACTAGGCTTTTATTTATACCCTGCTACACCGATTGTATTATTCCCAAAACTTTCTAATCCTAGAAATCGTTTGTCTTTCCGTTTGTTCGTTGAATGAAGTGATTATGATGTTTTGAAATTAGTAGTTTTGCAATGGTTTAATGATTTGATGAGCACGTGACAAGAATTAGTGCTTTTGTGAACTTTTTAATTACATTGGAAAGTGTTTGACCCTATGCAAGGGATTTTATTAGTGTACGGGAATCGTTAGGTTTTCATGGCGTGACGGTACCCAATATATGTGGCGGTGGAGCCCCTTGCGCGTGACACAGCCCTGGCCAGGATCGTCTGTTGACTCGCGTAGTGTTTATTCGCGCTTGTCTCTCCTCCTCTCCCTCGCGCCGGGTTACTTGTGTTTGGGATATCGCGATTTTTTTGCAATGTGACGCTAGAATGAATGAAGAATAATATAATGTCGGGCTCCTGCGTGTGCGGGTTGGCAGGTTGGCGTGAGGAGTGGCGCGCGAGTGACGCGAAACTGTTCTGAGAGACGGAAACTCGACCGAAAATGCCGGCAACGCGATTACACGACGGTCCCTTGTTTCCAAAAGGATTGACATTTTTACGCACTGGTGAACTACGACATACTGGATTTCACGGCTACTGAGATATCGTGGTATATGAAAGGTTCTCGCGGTGTGTGGACCGTGCTGGGACTCGCGGATCGCGTTTTGGTGCTTATAGGTTAGGTCGCCGGCACATAACCTACGCGCGGTTTTATATTCGTTATAAACAAGTTTTGTGCGGGACTACTGAGAGTGGAATACTGTGTTAATAGTTTACGGGAATCTGGTGAAAGTGTGGGCTCCTGGAGGAGCTTTGCGAAGGAGTGTGTTCAGTGTGATGCTATGAGCCTGTCGTCGGAGAGACAATGAAGGCGAATGGAACTAACAATGGTGATTGATGTTCTTTACTCTGTAGTACAAGAATGGCAGTAGAATATAAATTCAACTAATTTTATAATCAAAGATATGCTATCGATGAGTCTTAACTCAAACTTTATATTACAGGCTGTAGCCGACTGAATACACCACTGGCAGCCACTACCACACTGGAGGACCCAGGGACTCCTGCCTCCTGGAAGGGCGCACCGCCCGGCTCAGAGGCTTCTCCATTTACTCCAAACTCTGTTGGCCAGGGTGGGGGCCCTACATCGGGTCCCTATAATAATTCAGGAGGTCCACCAAGCAATACGGGAGGATTTCAGGGCCCCAGCCCGTTCCCCGGTGGGGCGGGCAGTCCTGCTGGAGCACCCCCTTATCAAGGTCCTCCACCAGGATCAGCGACACCTCAATATACTGCATCCCCTGCACCTAGTGGCTCTTCTACACCAGGTCCAGGACCACCTCCAAATTCTGCTGGATTTCCACCGCCACCAAATAACTCAGGTCCTCCATACAATGGACCTGGTCCCAGTCCATTTGGATCGCCATCAGGTGCACCACCACAATTTGTTGGCCGGCCAGGTTCTTCCGGACCACCATTTGTACCACCAGGAGGAGGCAATCCTCACTTTCCCTCACCAGGACAACCCTTTGGAGGACCTCAGTATGGAATGCCACCGGGAAGTCCATTTGGACCAGGAGGTCATCCTATGGCAGGTCCGATGGGTCCTGGACATCCTGCGATGATGGGCCCTGGTGGTCCAGTAGATCGAATGGATCAAGGGTGAGTAAAATAACAGAATACAATCATACAGCATGCTATGACATCAAATTTACAATATTCATACAAATTTTCAATATCCCTTCTACATGTTGCGAAGCAAGAAGTATGGTACAGGATATCGTAACACACTATCTAACTAGAAGCTGTAGACTGATTCATGAGAGAATACTAAAAAGCTTAGTATCACGTCAAAAGTATCCTACTCAAAATGCCCTTAGATTCCCCTAGTAACACGTAAATATGCGAGAGAAATTTTACGGGCATTATGATAGCATCAAAAGGATACAAAATACAATGAAAAGGAAGAAAAAAGGGAATGTGTCCACGAGGAAGGTGCTGCCGGTTATTACAGTACTGGGAAGCTGATAAAGTAGCGCTGGGTAATATAATCAGTTTGTCCTGGGAACGCTCTTCTGCATAAACCTAATTAACGATGTCAGTCTTGGCTCTTCCTATAATTTTGATGATCCCCTCCTTCTCGTCAAGAACAAACTGAATATACTGTGAGTACAATGCGATTTTATCATTGGTCTCTCCTATGCCATATGCCTACATTCATTATCACTATTACAGAATGATATTCTATTAAGTTTCTTCTGAAACTCTCATCCGTTTCCTACGTCGTATCCACCAACCTGTCTACCTACCTACTTGCCCAAGAATATATGAAACGTTGGAAGGACTAAAATCTATGCTGTCCGACTGTTATGATGCTGCGCCAGGACACATACCATTCTCTGATAGTAGGTGCCTGTGGCTCACAGGTAGCAGTTGTTATTTATTGCTCACCCTGTGGTTGGTCCACATTCTTACTGATAGCTCGCCACGAATTCTCTGCATTTACACCCCTTTAAAATAGCTTATTCCCTATTGACCCTTAGGGCAAAGGCTGGTAAAGTAAAATAAAAATAAAAAACTAAATAGAACAAAGTGAAAGAAATAAACGGCAATGCAGTCTTCTTGACGTAACACAGAATCTACCGAGTGTAAAAAATAAAAAGTACTCAACCGAATGTGAGAAAATCGATTAATTTGCAATACGCGAACGAAGGAGTGTTTGGCAGCCATTGAAAAATGGGAGAATTTAATTTTTAAAGAGACTACAAAAGGTACCACACCGACATTTTTGTCGTGGATTGTACTCGAGGAGGGGGTGACGTGGACTTTTGTAGAGGATTGTACGCGACCCACCTCTCCCCCTCTTTCTCCCTAAAGCCCTCCTAGCCACCCCGTGTTACAGGAGGGATGTTCAGGGGGGGCTCGAGGAGAGGGAGTAGGAATACGACGGTTCTCATGTTTCCCGTATTTTAATTTTTCACATTATTTCGTTCCTGTCTGCGAATTATTTATCGTAACCTCTTCGCGGTTTATGTAACGTCCCCCCGCGTCTCCCTCTGTCCCCAAAATGGACAAAGCAGCTCGAAACAGGAAAGAAACAAAGCAAAAATAACGCATAACGGAAATGCAAATTTTCATCAGCAAAACTAAAGGTTAAACATTCTCATCACATTACCAAAAGTAGATTATTTTTAAGTTTCAAAATAACTTTCCGCCGTATATTTAATGCAACAAACAAAAAAAAAATCTTGCCAGAATAATCTCTCTTGATTAAAATTATTTCCACCTCCATTCGCGCTCATCACGAGACAGTCTGTTTCGCCGTGAAACTGTGAAGGTTTCGACATTTTTTTTCCAGTTTTTTTTTGGGTTCTTTTCCTCTTTTTTTTTTACGGAAGAAAATCGATTGAGAACCGTGGCGAATCCCTGGTCTCCTCCTCCCTCCACCTCCTCGGAGGATCCCTGCTCGTCCGTTCGTCGGTCCATCTGTCCGTCTGTCCGTCCACCCATCCATGCGTCTACCACCTTCGCTTACACTTTCGCGTTTAGCCTCGAACGTTAGAATCTTCGTCGACTCGACTGCGTTACGTAGGAAGAAAAGGTGACCGAGGAGGTAAGGGATGTTGTGGGAGGGTTGCCAGGAGTGACGACGTGGGGTGAGGATACTCTGGTTAGGGTTTGCGAGGAGGTGGCTCTCTAGAAAAATGTCACCGCAGGTGAACATTTCCTCCCTTGTTCACTTTGTTGGAACATGAGGAAACGGATGTAGAAGAAAATTCCAGTCCTATTAGCCGCTGGAATTTGCATCGAAAAATATTTGCTGCTACGAGATTAGCCGAGACGTCGGCAAACTTACTGATTAGAAATTTCAAGCTTGGCACTGCGACGTCTGGTTGCAATAGACATTTGTATTTGAACTGCCGGTGTGGCGCGCACAGGTTCCTAGTTATTCGTACTGGCATGCTAGAAGATATGTTTGCTACTTGACTCCAGCAGTTGGTTTTGTTAATTCCCGATTCTCCCGTGGGATGTCAGGCGTTACTAATGGGATGCAGTTAGGGATGAAACTTCTGACGGTAGACTAGCGACGGGGGTAGGGGGTCGTTATTTTTTTTCTCGTTTATCGAGACATATAGGAGTCGCATGAAAATTGGTACGTAAACAGATGTATTTCTGCGATTAGAATATTAAGCGGTTGTTTTCTATATTAATTGAAATTCTCGACCCGAGAAACTCGAGCGTCTCGGTTCTCGATGTGCATTATTAACTAGAGTCGAAGTACAGGGTGGAAAAAGATAGTATTGATTTTTACCGATATTTAGCCGTGGAATTATCCCCTCTCTCCTTGCTCTCTCTTCGACCCTTTCTCTCTTTCTCCCATGAGCCTCCCTTCCGTCTTTCCTCACTCGATCTCCCCCTGCTGCTGTGCGCCCTTCGACTCGTACTCTCTGCCACCCTACTCGGGATCCTAGGAAAGACGCCTAGGCGCTCAGGAAATCTGAATAGCTATGACCCGGAAGGACGTTTCTATGCTAAACATCCCTTGGTTGGCTTGTGCACTCGTGAGAGGAGGACGGTACTAGGAAAAAGAGAAAAAGTAGTTTCTGCGAATTAAATATTTCTCTCTGTTTTTTTCATGACGAAAGATTTTTCGCTTTCGAACTGTCGCGGGACGATAACATCGCGGATTAAGGATCAGATAAGAAGCGTCGGGACGCTTTGGAGTTCGACTGGGGTTGCGAGTCGTCAATTTCAAGTGCGCCACCCCCAATGTAACTCCCGTCACCCTTCCATACCTGTAAACGGCCGCCGGGTGTATCGTATACCTGCAGGGGTTGCGCTGCCGTTTAGCCAAGAAACGAACCCAGTCTCTAGACAGTGGCGACATCCGACGGCAGCCTCGTAAACCCGCTGGTACCCAATCCTGGCGCACAGTTCCGTTGATATCATCCGGGAATGCTAATCGCGGGGTTGCTACAGGGACGTAGCAGAATGGGAACCTCTAATTTACAGGAGCGAGAGAGTCGACTTCGCGGGGTACACTCCTTACGAAAATTCAAAAGTTCCATCGGGAAGTTTACGATCCCGTCTAGCCGGCGCGGCGCGCTCTCATCCCCCTCTCTTCGTCAACCCCTTATAGCTTTCCATCCCCTTATTCACTTTTTCGTTCGCCTTCCTTCACACTCTCCCTCTCTCTCTCCCTCGGCCTAGACACACAGCAGTGCCCTATGGTAACCCACATACATCTCACCATTTTACGTCACTGGAGTCGTAAACGTCAAAGGGCGGCTAAAAAGCAACCCTCGCCACCGCGTTCCTGGTAAACCACCCTGAACAAACGCACGTTGTACCTATCGCCATTGTGATATCAGCTACCTTAAAATAAAAAAAAAACACTGAAAATTAATATACATCAACGTATTGATTTCAGCCCTAGCACATTATTATATATTTACATAATATTCACAACCCCCGACAGTCCCTTAAGAACCCGTAACCCCATATCTCGCTTCCATCCCCACAGCAGTTTACTGTAAGGTTTACCCAGGCTTTCGCCAAATACAGATGGTTGTCTTTATAATCCATCCCCCCCGCGTACAGCTACTTCACCTCGATATTTAACTTAATAGTAACCCGGCCATCTCGTTACAGTTTTACCTGGCAGCCCACCATGGGGCCACCCCCCCTCTCTCTATCAGACGTCATAAACGTTTTTATTCCTATGGTCGTCGGGCCGTCTTAACGAGTTTTGTCCCAACCAAGAACCGATCGGCACCCCGTAGGACCCTAACGGTACACGCGTCCCGCCCCTGGCTTAAGCCCACGACCCAAACTACACAGCAAGGCTTACCAATTGGCGACAGTACGTACAGTGTCTTTAAAAAGTAATGATTACGACCTTTTCTCGATTATTAAAAAAATTCAACTGACGTTTCCCCACAACCCTGCAATCTTATCCGGGCGACATTCGTCTCGTTTATCAGATTCGTTTTGCTGGTCACGGTCAACTCGTTATGCAATCCGTGAAACGTAATCGGAATCCATTGAAACGATGCGTATCCAAGTGGCGCTTGAGCCAGGAACTTCCCACTATGGTCACACGTGTATTTACATGCTTCCTCCCCCCCCCCCCCCTCTTCCCCAC